AGAATTGTTTACAAAAGCACATATACTTTCATAGACTGTCCATACGTGCTTGACCTCTTTTCGAGACTAAATTATGCCCAAGAGAGTATATGTACATTCTTAAACAATTTATTACCCCTTAAAGACGCAAAAATAAACCAACCCAAGGGCCATCTCTATTTGCAAGGACTATCTGGTAATTTAACCCGACTTCACTGGACATTTCATATAGAGCTGTAAAGTTTTACCAATGCTTTATATCGTTGCATTAACTTTTTTGGTTTTTCGAAAATTTTTTTATTAATCTACTGTGGTTTATTCGAATTATAGAAAAAGGTATGTTAAATATTTAAAATTTTACTGAAATAGATTTTTTAATGTGGAATTTCGAATTTTAAATATAGAAGTTAAGATTTCTGTTTAATAATAATGTTAGTATTAATTTCCAAAATTGAAATTAAAAATGTTTGAACTAGAAAATTATTAATATTTTAAAAACAATTCAAACTTAGAACTGGACAGTAATAAATAAAAAATCATATATGAGAACGTTTCAACTTCTCATTATTTTCAATGCTGGACTGACCTTGAGGTTCGCACGTGGTTTTGTACAATAAAAGCTCGATATAACCGTTATAAGATCGATGACATATATATGATATATTACATTCGCATTAATTCCAGTATATCTATGTTAATTTATGAATATATGAATAAACATTTGTGATTTACCCGCATTTTTTTTTTCTTTTTTCTTATCTGCGGCCCGTTTCAATTCGAACGTTTCAAATGTGGTTCTTAGAAAAAGGTTGCCCATCCCTGGTATAATGCAAAAGCATTAAGAATCGCGCTCTGAATTCTCTCTTCTCTGGCTCTCATTACGGTTTAAACTGCTATGAACTGCTAATTACAATTATTTTGTTTATTTGATGTAAGTAGAAAATGTTTTTAATAATTATTTTCTTTATATTACAAATGAATTAATTAAAAATAGTCTATTTTATAGGTTCGGACAACTAGAATTTTACAAATTTGATAATAAATTTTAAAAAGTTATTTTTTCCTTTCACGTTAGTAAAAAGTAGGTTATAGGTTATAACATCACAAAATATATTTGGTATATAAATGGTTTGGTTCGATTCCTTATAATTTTTAATTTGCAGAATGGAATCACAGTCTGGGGGAAAAAAGCAAAGGGAGGTCAAGAAAAGTTGAGACTAAAAAGAAAACATGATTTGGAGTTAGTAGCTGGACAGTGCTACAGTATACAACAAATGTTTAATAAAAACTTAAAATGCCAGTCTGAAAATATGTCTAACAACGACGATGTGAATGAGTGGAGAAATATAAATAAAAATATTAGTATTCAAGAAATTGAAAATAATATATCTGCAACTTCAACCGACGTAGATAATGTCGATAATGCTCAAACTGATCAAAACAAATTTGAGAAAGAGAAAAATAAAAAAATTTTGCAAGCAATGGAAGTCAGTATTCCAATTCTAGAAGGCAACGAGTCTAATACATTTTTTATAAAGCCGCATTACAGTAATATAGATGATTTCTTCAAGTATCATCCAAAACAACCTACCAAAAAAACACCGTTTAATATTAAAATTTATAATAGAAAAATAGATTGTCAAAATCGTAAATGGTTAACATTTTGTGAAGAAAATAACAAGTTGTACTGTTCGATCTGCTTAGCATACGGAAGAGATTCAGAAGACAATATTTTTATCAAAGGTTTCAGTAATTGGCATTATGTTCATCAATATATCGAAAGGCATGAGAAAAGCAAGTTTCATGACGAAAATGCTGTTCGCCATTTCATGCGCACGAAAAACTGTTCAAGCATTACTACACAATTGAAATCCATACGAAATGAAAAAATACTTTTTAATCGTAATGTTGTCAAACGAATAATTGATATTATTAANAAGACAATATTTTTATCAAAGGTTTTAGTAATTGGCATTATGTTCATCAATATGTCGAAAGGCATGAGAAAAGCAAGTTTCATGACGAAAATGCTGTTTGCCATTTCATGCGCACGAAAAACTGTTCAAGCATTATTACACAATTGAAATCCTTACGAAATGAAAAAATACTTTTTAATCGTAATGTTGTCAAACGAATAATTGATATTATTAAATTGATTGGCAAAAGAGGGTTAAGTTATAGAAGCAAACGAAATGAGGGTCTTTATACATTGGATGATGACAATTTAGATCACGGAAACTTTTTATAAATTATATTACTTTTAAGCAAATATGACGATATTTTGAAGAAGCATTTGGATAGTTGCATTAAGGAGAGTAAAAAAATTCACCAGTCAAATTTAGATAAGGGAACACAAGGACGTGGCAACTTAGTTACATTTTTATCAAAAACTACTGTAAACTACATACTTGAAGCAATATCGAAACTATTTAAAAACAAAATTTCGAAAGAAATAAGTGATGCTGGAATGTATAGTATTCAGATTGACACCACACAAGATATAAGTGTTCAAGATCAATGTGCAATTATAGTGAGATACGTAAATAAATACATAAATGAAAGACTTTTAGCCATCATCAGTGTGGAATCATCAACCGGTGAAGCTTTTTACAATATTATAAAAGAAATACTCGGAAAAAATAATTTGGACATTACCAAATGTATCGGAAATTCTACTGATGGTGCTAGTATGCAGGGTGCTATATGCAGGGGAAATATCGTGGGTTTTCTGCTCATATGCTAGAAGCTATCCCAGAGCATGTTCATGTATGGTGCTACGTCCACGTTTTGAATTTAGTTATTTCTGACATTACTCAGTCATCAATTACTGTAGCTTCATTATTTAGTTTATTAAATTTAATAGCAATTTTCATTCGAGAATCGTACATTCGAATGAATGTGTGGATTTTTTTTAGTAAAGATACTAGGCGTAAAAAATTAAATACGATAGGAGAAACGCGATGGTGGGCCAAGGATGTAGTCTTGAAAAAAGTGTTTGGTAATTTTGCTAATTCTAAAGATGGCTTATATGTTCAATTAATATTAACATTACAGTATTTTGCTACATCGATAAACATTCAACCAAACATACGAATAAAAGCAAAATCTTTTCTAGATTCCTTAATAAAATATGAAACAGTTTTAACAGCTNGAAGCTATCCCAGAGCATGTTCATGTATGGTGCTACGCCCAAGTTTTGAATTTAGTTATTTCTGACATTACTCAGTCATCAATTACTGTAGCTTCATTATTTAGTCTATTAAATTTAATAGCAATTTTCATTCGAGAATCGTACATTCGAATGAATGTGTGGATTTTTTTTAGTAAAGATACTAAGCGTAAAAAATTAAATACGATAGGAGAAACGCGATGGTGGGCCAAGGATGTAGTCTTGAAAAAAGTGTTTGATAATTTTGCTAATCCTAAAGATGGCTTATATGTTGAATTAATATTAACATTACAGTATTTTGCTACATCGATAAACATTCAACCAAACATACGAATACAGTAAAAGCAAAATCTTTTCTAGATTCCTTAATAAAATATGAAACAGTTTTAACAGCTGAAATTTTCTTACAAATATTTGATATTATAACACCGATTTCAAATTATTTGCAAGAAAGAAGTACAGTATAGATTTCATCAAAGCTCATCGCATGGTTATGAATGCAATCAAATTATTAAAGGATATATCGCGAAAATTTAACGTTGTAAAGAACTCTGCTGATATGTTTGTTAATTATGTAAATAATAAACTGGATGAAATGCAATGTGATGTCGAAGTTGAACATACATTACCGGATATTAGAATATGGACGGTGGAGAAACTACGGACGAACCGATAAGAGATTCATTGAAGAGGTATGAAATAAACAATTACAATTACATACTAGATACTGCAATTCAAAGCATGGAAAATCGTTTTACAAAAAACCAATTACTTTATAATGACTTCGCTTGTTTGGATCCAAAAAATTTTTCTGAAAATACTCCTGAAAATGCATTTAAAAAATTAAGCAGTATTTTAATACAGTTTAATCCAGAAGCAACTCAACACAATATTATTTCAGAATTACAACATTTTAAATCTTCGTGGAATATTTTAAAGGAAAATGTCAGTGAAACGTTTAAAAAATTAAACGAAAATGAACATTCTACTGACGATCATGTAGAAAACGATAATGATTCAATTTCATCTTCTTCCTGCAAAGCTTGCAAAAATTGCCCTATTTGTTGTTACAATGTATTAGTCAGATATAACATGTTAAGTGGATCTTATTCTATACTTGGTCAAGCATATAAATATTTACTATCTATGTCTGTAACACAAGTGTCCTGTGAACGGAGTTTTTCTACGTTAAAATTCATTAAAAACAGATTAAGATCAAGTATCTCGCAAGAAAATCTACAAGCCTTCATGTTAATGTCAGCAGAGAAGGATATTTTAAATGAAATAGATTCTGATGACATTGTTAATATTATTGCTCAATAAAGCGAACTTTTAAATAAAAAATTAATGTTGTAGACTTGTGCTTATTGTAATTTTTGTCAAGGTTGTATTTTGAATATATTTAAATATAAATAGAAAAAAGGCATTTATTTATTTATGGGCTGGGCTGGTAATAACTTTTTCCACACAAAAATTTTAGGGCTAGTCCGCCCCTGCATGCAGCTCTACAAAATACCCCCAACCAATTGGAACCACTGGGAGATTAAAAAGCATATCAACCCAATAAAAGAGAAAGAAAACAATCAAATAAATACCGAAATAACCAAAGATGAAATAAAAAATGCCATAGACGACTTCCACATCAAAAAAGCTCCAGGCACCGACGGCCTCCCAGCTGAACTGTTCCGCTTCTACAAAGAGGACTTCGCTGAGATTTTCCACAAACTGTTTAACATGAATTCTTTTCATAAAAACTTCAGCACAGGTAAAATGATACTCATAAAAAAAAAAAAAAAAAAAAAACGGTGTAACTGGGCAACTAGGAGACTTCAGGCCCATCACATTATTAAACATGGACTATAAAAACTATAGCATTATAATTGCCAAAAAAATTGATGCAACCTTCCGTGACATCATTGGCAGTACCCAAAGTGCTGGCATCAGAGGTTGCACTATTCAGAATAACATAATGTTTATTAATGTAATGAGTAACATCTACATCAAGAGGAAATCTCCACTCTCTATCTTCTCTATTGACATGGAAAAGGCCTTCGACACTGTTAACAGGCAGATCCTCTGGAAACTTCTTGACCTCTATGGTCTTAACAATAGTGAAATAAACAAAATTAAACTTCTCTACCAAACTCCCAGGACTAAAATCAAAATAAATAACCATGAATCCGACTTTACTGACTGTGCTGCAGGCGTAAGACAGGGTTGTCCCTGCTCGATGGTGCTCTTTACTATATACATAGAAACTCTACTTAAAATGATCATGGAAGACAAACTTATAACCCCAGTATACATCCCTGGCACAACCAAGAAAATAAAATATATAGCTCATGCCGACGACATAAATTTTAGAGTCATGGATAAAATTGCACTCAATAAAATCATTGAAAAGATAAACATATTCAGCAACTTAACTGACATGAGAATCAACCAGAACAAAAGCAAAATAATCAATATCTATGGTAACATATCCTGTGATACAATGAAATCAAATACCATCAGCAACATCAAAATCCTTGGTGTCTGGTATGGTGCAAACTGCAATCAATATAACCTTAACAATATGATCCAAAAAATTAAAAATGCACTTTGCATCTGGGACAACACTTGGTTATACCTGCCTGAACGTGTAATAGTAGCCAACAAAATCTTAATTGCCAAAATAATGTACACCCTGTATATCACAGATCTCAATAAAAGTCAAGTCAACTCATTGGAAAAAATCATATTTAAATATATATGGCAAAAAGACTTCGAACCCATCAGCAGAAACATCATGAAAAATGACATATACGAAGGTGGCTGGAGAATATGGGACATAAAAAACCTCGAACAGGCTCTTCAAGTAGCATACATAATTAACTCTATCAAAATGCAAGATCATCCGCTATATGACATCACTCGCTATATTCTAGGGCCCATCGTTAAATGCATCACCGCAGAGTCTGGTAACAATCCCTTCCTTCTGGACAATTCCATAAAATTCAAAAAATGGAGAGAAATCGTCACCACTCTTGTCAACAAGGATCAAATAAGGGACACCAACAAACCCAGCACCATCTACAAAAACATCTTCAACCAGACCAACAACAGCAACCTTACTGATACTTCCATTAACTGGAAAGAAACTTGGACCAATATAAACAGACTACCAGCTGAATGGAGAGAACTCGCATGGAGAATCATTAATAACATTGTAATGACAAGGGAATACCTGTACAAATACCACCGAGTAAGTACAGCTAGATGCCCTCGCTGCAGCCGCAACGAAAGTATCTTTCACGTGTTCTTTGAATGCACCATAGCTACCGAAACTTGAACCTGGCTCAACAAAATATTTAAAACTCATATTTCCTGGAAAATGTCAAATATCAGTCTAACTTCCCTGTCACGAATCAAAACCACTATATGATCAACTGGAGGACTGCACTAACCAAAAGTATCATATGGAAAGCTAGATGCGCTCTCATTTTCCAAAACAAACGTTGGAACGTAACCCTCATCACCAACAAAATCAAGGAGGAGGCTAATTACAAACTCAAAAATGACTACAAGAACTTCACTGATAAAGACCATAACTTCCTCTACTGTGGAACTGAAAACGTCATCTGGAAAAAGGTAAACAACAACTACACACTCAACGCAAACTGACTCTCACTCGTCTCACTGCTTCAATGATATCATTGTAGATCTGTAACCTAAATCTCTGTGAGATTGATTGCTTAATGTAACTCAACATGAGTCTTATGTATTTCTAGTACTTTGAACTTTCTGCAACGACAACTGCAATACACATCTGTATCAACTCTGTGCTTTGTAACCATTTCACTTTCTTATATGTCAGGCTTTTATGTTACCTGTAACAAATTATAACCATCCACTATTATATTATTATGAGAAAACGTTTTTATGTATCTTGCATAATACCCACATGTATATATCTGTACATACTATCATAAAAATATTTTAGGGTATTTATGCAAAGCTCTTTATTAATCATGTAAAAATTGTAGCAATGTATACTACTAATGCTCAGCTATATGCTGATATGTGACTTTTAAGATATCAATAAACTTTAAAAAAATAAAATAAATTCGTCCCACGGGTCAATATAGGTCATTTCCTGTTCCATGGGTTAAGTTTCGCCTTCATCCCCGTTATCCGTTATTTTCGGCAATTCATTTTCAGTTTCCTCGTTCACCTCAAATTCTTCTCTAGCGATAGCGGGTTGAACTCGTAACTTATGCTTGGTCTGGATATTTTCTATTTGATAATTAACAGGGCTAAGAACGTCTATTATTCGATAAGGACATGACCATCGCGGAGCTAACTTTCGCTTTATACCTCTTGGCACAACTACTTTTAGTAGTACTTTGTCTCCTACCGTAGCTTACGAGATAAGAAAGGCTATCGCATTCTCAACTTTTTGCTTCGAAAAGAGGGTCTTTTAGTGTTGCTAAATTTTGTCACTAGATGGCGTCTTAACACCCCTATTCAGAGAAGGACGTATACTAGCTAAGGCAGTATTCTCTGGCTAAAGTGTTGTCACATCTATTGAAATTTAAAATAACGTAGCATACATAGTTAGTTTTTATACCGCATTATTTCTTTTATTGTAAAAGGAACTTCAATCCTTTTTACAACATGATTTATTGCTGCATGCCATTGTGTAAAAGCAGTGGACGTATGAAAGGTATTACTTTCCATGAGTTCCCCTTTGAAACACAGTTGAAAACACAATGGCTCTTAAGTATAAAAAGGGAGGGTGAGAAAAAAACAGTTATTGGATTCCTTCCGAAAGATCTAGAGTTTGTAGTCGACATTTTCTCCCCACAAATTATAGCGTTAGCAAAACACGAAAAAGGCTTCTACCTGGCTCTGTGCCATCAGTTTTTGAGGAGTATCCAGAAAGATTAAAAAGAAAGAAGCCTGAACCCAGAAAATTTCCCAAAAAGAGATGTACACAGTCTACAACTGGGTATTTAACTAGTGTGGAAAATAATATTGATCAGGAAGAGGATGGTGATGAAAAGTGTGAGGATGCAAATGAAAACAAAACAGCCAGCATTGGTGTTCAAGTTCACATTCCTGTTTGCTCATTCCTAAGTAAAAGAACAAGTACTACACTGAGAAATTTAAAAAGGAAATGTTCAAGGCTTACAAAACAAATTTCAAATCAACTGTAGAAGCACAAAAACATTTATTAAAAGAAAGATTAAGGAAAACTCCTCTGGAAAAGAAATTTCAGGAAATTGTATCTGAAGCTACATTCAAGCATTCATTAAAACCTAATTTTTTAATTGAACAAGTTAACAGTTATGGTAAGAAAAAGGGACACTATGAAGAGACTACTGTTAAGATTTGTGCATTACTGCAAAGGAAATCCTCCAAGGCCTACAAGTATTTAAGACAAATTGGTATTTTGCATATCCTCATTCAGCAACCTTAAAAAGATACATTGGTTATGCCAGTGGAGAAATTGATGTTACTTCACTGATTAAATGTCGACTTGCAGAAGAATTCAAAGGATTAAAGACCGATTCTGAAAAATTGGGGTCCCTTATCATTGACAAGATGGCTATACAACCTAAATTAATTTATGATAGAAAATTGGACGTATTTTTAGGCCAACCAAATATGGACATGAATCTGATAGGACTTGAAGACAAATTAGAAAATAAATTGCTGTGCTTCCTTTTCCGTGGCCTAACACCACCTTATCGGATACCTGTAGCCTTTTACTTTACTTCAAACATAACTGCATTTGACCTTAAAAATTTAACTCTTAAAGTTATCACAGCAGTAGAAGAAGAAGGATTTATAGTCCAGCGCATGGTCACTGACAACTATTCAGCTAATAAAACCTGTTCGATTCTTAACCAGGAAACATTTATTTCCAACCAGCTTTGAAAAAATGAACGTTTCACGAGCAGCTCAAATTTTTTCAATTGAATTGGTTGCCGCCCTGGAAACAATGGTTGATATTTCTCCTGAGAAAGTAGATCATAAAGCAGGATTACATGATACGATTAACTTCATGAAGATCATGAGGAAGTGGTTTGAACTTCATGATATTTGTAATCAAACTCACTACATCTATTCTAAAAATCAAAACAAATGTCCTTTTTAGTCCTTAGATGATGAAAGACTGCAGTGGCTCAAACGATTTTCTTCACTACATTGAACAAATTCAGTCCTCACTGGAGAAAGAAAAAAGATTTAGTAATGAAACATACCACGCTCTGCAGTTCACAACGATGTCCACTGTCCTCTGTGCGCCCACCTTCTTCAGGAAGGTTTCCAATTGTCCTTCCAAAAACTTTTCAAGTGATGACGTAGAGGCACTATTCAGCTATGTATGCCAGTTAGGTGGCTACAATGACATGATGGATGTACGATCCAGTATGTTTGCTATAGAAGCAACGCTTAAAACAGGTTTAATTAAAGCTTCCATTAGTGCTAATGTGGAAGCAAGAGAACCACCACTGTCAACTGCAATAGCTCTAATTTCATTGCCAGCAAAAGAAACTGCTTATAGCTGTTGCTCAGAAAACTTTGCATTGCCTGACGAAGTAATGAAAATTCTGTCCAGGTTTTATAACCCACAAGGTTAGTACCATTCCTTTTCTTATTTTACCTTGTTTTAACTATAAACATTTGGAAGCTACTGTCTATTTTTTATCTTTTAATTACATGAAATCTGCTTGTGTAAATGACACATCTTTAGAACTAAGTGAAAAGTACACTTTAGTTTCCTACAGAAGTATTCAATTTTATAGAATTTTGTTCTTATTTTTTCCTTCAGCTGTTCAACCCACAATGAAAAATGCAGCAGTGGTTATGATTGCAGGATAAATTGTAAAAGTGGCAGAGAAATGAACAAGCTGCTTTGACTGTCTGCAAAAACTTTCAAGATTGAAAAGCTGTTCTCCAGTTTTGAGATTAATTTTTCATCGAGACCGTGGTGGTTTAAAATACCCTTGCTTTGAACTAGTGAGAGTTTTTGACATTATTTCTGATTTTGTTTTTGAAGCACTAATGAATGTGTGTTTAAAACAGAAAGGTATAAAAAAAAATTGTGAAGATACTTATTCCACATTTTCAAAATTTACTTTGCTGCAAGAATTGTGACTCATCAACCTTTGTTAGAGTTATTTTAGAAAAGTATATAAATCCACTGTTTGATAATTTTGGGAAAGCTATGAGTGAGAAACTCCAGCCAGTTAAGACATTACATAATAAGCCACTTAGCAGAAAGGTTATGCGAGTGTAGAAACTACCCAGTTGTTTTATTGGCTTTAAAACTTTGTGTAAACTTTCTAATCACATTATATTTATTAACTCAGACTACATCTAATGAATATATATATGATATAGTCTACATGTTTATCTTTTATGCACTTACATGGTATGTTATGAGAATTTAGTAAAAGTCTATTAATAAAAATTATTTGTGTGAAAATCCCTTTCCATAAATATTTATAAAATTATTGTTTATTAGTAATTATTCTTTTTTTCATGCATTCTAAATCCTGAGATATGATTTCTCAAATTATTGATTTTTAATTAATGAGAAAGACTTCTTACTACAGCATATCACCCCCAGTGTAAATGGAATGGTAGAATGCCTTAATAAGATCCTAATAGATATTTTAACTCATTATGTTGACGCAGATCAGCTCAATTGAAATGAAATGATCCCTTATGCTCTTTTCGCATATAATACTACTATGCATTCGAGCACAAATGAAACGCCCTTTTTCCTTTTGTATGGACGCGATCCGACTTATCCCTTTGACATCGTTATTGAACCTAATCAACCTCGATATGATCTAAATGAAAATTTTGCGAGCGAACTGAGAGCAAGGATGGCCTCAGCTCACAAATTAGCCCAGGAACATGCGGAAAAGGCTGCGTATGATAGGAATACATACTGTCAATGTAAGCATAAGCCATATAAATTCTCCATCGAAGACAGAGTTTTTGTTAATGAGGTAGCTATACCCGCGGGAGTGAAGCAAAAATTAGCCCTGCGATGGCACGGTCCCTATAGAATAATCACGGAAACAAGTCGTGTAGATTTTATAGTCCAACACATCCAATCCGAAAAGAAATTGCATATGCATGTTAATAGGTTAAAACCTGCAATCACTAGGTTGGAATTCGTACCACCCAATGCAGGAGAAGGAAATCCAGATGCAAGAAACGCCGATCCTTCACCCCTAACGGAGGAACAACCTCAGAAAGAACAGGTTGACCCCTGGGATGAAATCATTTTATAGTCACTGCAACAGAGTCAGTTAGATACCACAAACACCA